TGAGACGCGCGCGCTCCTGTATCAGCGGAATGCTAATGAATCATGTTGCCACATAAATGTCTTATATCGATACTCGACAAGTGAGATCCTTCGCGGATACCGACCGTGCTGGATGTGAAGCTCGTTTACGAAAGTGACAGAGACCAGTGTTGCAAAGCAACGCCAATTAAAACTCCCTTATCTCTAATTGAAAGCCGTGAATCGCGGTCGTGAGATCTACTTAATTCCGATATGTATTAGAAATAAATCAGGCGTGCGATGGGAACAGGTTAGGCCGTCTCACACACGCGGCACGAGGATCAACGCACTCGAGGCCACGTCGCGATCGTCAGCACAGGTAGGAATTAAATGAGCGAATTAATCGTTCGCGGCTCCGCGCTCTTCCAAGCTGACTTTTCTCGGCCGCTGTGGAAAGCCGCTCGATTTGCTCTTATCAACGCCGTGCCCCACATCCTCCGGTAATGATCCTCTACGCAATCGGGGCGGCCACTAATCTGCGCTCCAATCTTCCTGTTTCTCTTTCCGCTGCCCAATTGGCCGCGCGGGGTGGCAGCGGCATGTTATTACCCGATGGTAGAAATCTCGCCGAACACCGTGAAGCAAGTGACCAGCATGCGGCTTTCCTTCTTTTCCTTCTTCGAATATGCGCCTTAATTTGATCCGTAATGCCGGTTAGGATACAAACTTGCCCCACGGTCAAATTGTCGCTGGTAATTGCAACGCGAGCTGCGGAACAGAAAGGGGAACGGAATCAAGGATTAATCAATCGATATGTCGGCCGTGCAGCAAGAGAAAAAATATTTGGAAAATAGTAGGTTGGACTGATATACATTCACTTAAACCAAAATTCTTTTATTTAAATAGCATAAAAATAGTTGATATATCATTAAAAGTTAAGGTTCTTTTAAGATTTTGAGGAAATAAATATTACTGAATATTCTTATTGGGAGTACAAATAAGTTTCCGCCGTTTTTTATCAAAAATTGGGTATTTATTGTGAAAGAACAGTACCTTATGTTTTATTCAAAGTATTGTCCATCGCTAGCCACTACTTTTTCCCATTTTTCTGACAGCATACGGATACCGCGGCGGAAGAACGCTTCATCTTTTGAGGTTATCCACGAATCGACCCAATTTTTGGTATCTTCATATGATGTGAAGTGCTGCTCAGACAGGCCGTGCGTCATCGATCGAAACAAGTGATAGTCAGAGGGAGCAATGTCTGAATACGGCGGGTGGGGTAAAACTTCCCAATTGAGTGTTTCCAAGTAGGTTTTGACCGGCGCCGCAACATGTGGACGAGCATTATCATGCAGGAGAATAATTTTGTCGTGTCTGGAGTAGTAGTGGGTGCGTTTTTCCTTGAGTGCTCGGCTCAATCTCATCAATTGTGTTCGGTAGAGAGCCCCAGTAATGGTTTCGTTCGGTTTGAGCAACTCATAATACACGACACCAAACTGATCCCACCAAATATACAACATGAATTTTTTTTCCATGAATATTCGGCTTGGCTGTTGATGATTGAAGCATGGCCACGTGGTCCTCATGATTTCCTCTTCTTTGGGTTATCGTAGTGGATCCATTTTTCATCACTAGTGACTATACGAACGCAAAAAACCCTTTCGTTTATACCTGGCAAGCAGCATTTCACATGTGCAAAATCGGCGTTCAACGTTTCTCGGCTTCAGTTCATATGGAATCCAATTTCCTTGCTTTTGAGTCATTCCCAACGATTTTAAACGATGTGAAATTGCTTGTTGAGTCACTCCTAATGTAAGTGCAAGTTCTTCTTGCGTTTGGCACGAATCTTCCTCCAATAATGCTTCCAATTCCGCGTCTTCGTACACTTTCGGCCTTCCGCTACGTTCTTTGTCTTCGACGTCAAACTCACCGTTCTTAAACTTTTGAAACCACTCACGACAACTTCTCTCACTTAAAGCAGCCTCATCATATGCTTCTACAAGCAATCAATGCGCCTCAGTTGCAGATTTCTTCAAATTAAAGAAGTAAATCAAAAGTTCCCGCAAATGACGCTTATTCGGCTCAAAACTCGACATTTTCGCACGAAAAAAATTATGTGATGCTGGTATAAAATCGCTAATATTTCAAGGTTATGGTGTTGCCAGATATCCAATCTTACGATATGACGTTTTTCATCTGACAATTTCAACCATAACTTACTGGTGGGACCATCTTTTGTCAAACGGCGGAGACTTATTTGTACTCCCAATAAATTATTATTGAAATATCATTGAATATTATGGAAAAATAT